GGAGGGGGATTAAGGATGATGCCTTGCAGTGATGGCTGAACTCTGTGCTAATCTGAAGGGGTCTTCTGAAGGGGAGGAAGACGAAGTCCAGACACGACGACGTGGTTAAAGCAGTGTCGGGCTGAGGTTTGAAACACGTGGGTCATAGCACTAAGCGGATACAGCAGGAGAACAGAGGATCTTCAAGGTGGCAATTCATGCCAAGTGGTTTCCTCTCTGGGGTTTTATCAACGACTTCCTGATTTAAGTGGAGCTGCTGATCAAAAGATAGTGTGCGACGGTTTGGGTAATAACGACAAAACATAGGAAGCAGAAACATTTCTCCCACGTGTTTTTTTTTTCGACGTGATTGATTTGTTAAATTCATCATCAACTGGCGGCCCGTGGGCCAAATCTGGCACGCCAAACTTTCCAAACTGGTCCTCCAACAAGTATAGTTGCTTTATCTGATTAGACCATGTTTGCCCCAATTATTTTAATTAGCCTGCAGACTAAACCCTAACTGTGCTGATCAAATGTGGTTGATAATCCTGTGTTTAAACTCTCGACATTGCTTAGAAGTCAACTATGACGATTTAATATATCTTGTTTTTTTTTTTAACTAAGTCAAAGCCTTTTGAACAAGAGGGAAACTAATCGAAGGACAAAAAAAGTACAGTACACCACATTGTACTGCACGGTGGTGCTAATCACAGTACGGCTTGTTTTAAGAGCCGTTTATACACATTGTTGACATTTTTAAACATGCCCCCGCTTTGAGCTCACAAGTGCATATCAGTAACGAATGCAAACAAATTATATAATGTTTTTTTTTTTTGGTCGGAATGAGTCGTTATGTAAACATTATAAGTATGCGATTTTAGAGGTGAATATTTCCGGGAGGGTTTGGAGTTAAATTTAAGATGGAACGGGCATTAGAACCTTTTTTTGGTAACCGTGTAGGAAATGAATGATGTAATGTAATAGAAAAAGCTCACCAGATAAACGTGTCTTGTGATACCAGAGAGGTATATTTTAGGGTTAAAGGGTTAAATACGACTACAGTCCACTCATATACCATGTAAAGCTTGCATTTGCACGAATACATATCCTCATAACGGCCACTTCGAAAACACAAATACACAAAAATACGAGTACTGCCTCAAGGGTGTGACAAAGAATTTGTTCCAAAAGATTAATGACCACAACTGAGAGGACTGCCTCAAGGGTGTGACAAAGAATTTTTTCCAAAAGATTAATGACCACAAGTCTGCTCAAAGTCACTGTTCTCCAGTCCTTGGTAAAGGACACTGCTGACTAAACTCCCCTGACTGTCCTTACAGTTCCCCAGCGGGGCTGAGCCATGATGGGCGGGGGCAGATTCTCATAGACAAGTATAAAAATACAGGCTTACCACCAGACCAGTTTTTGAACACGAACCAACCAAGGCGACGATGTGTGAAAGTGAGTCTTATCAATCCATGAGAGACCAACAACGCAACTGCCACTGATGCTTTTACACGTGATTACTGCATTTTACAATCGTCAATCGTAGTACCTCTACCAGAATACCTATGAAAGGGTTATTTGTGTGTGTAGTATGCTGTATTTACGTTTTTGTCTAACACAAGGCCTGACCAATATCGGACACTGAGTAGGGTCTCACCCCATTCCTAAGGACATTCTTGTATCATGCAGCATCTAATAAATATCGTCTATTGTTATGACAAAACAGTGAGACATGCAGTTAAACTGCTGACACATAAGCAATGCCCCCTCGACAGCAAATTCTTAAAACTGCTGAAGAGGAAAACATTTTTGAAAAACCGAAGCAGGAATTTCCCCCATTCTGCACTCTGGGGGGGTGGGGTAGATGGGGCTAATGGGATTCCAGAGATCCTGAGATCCTAAAAAAAAAAAGAAGGGTCAATTTTCACTGTTATTACACTGACATGCAGTGAATCTGGAAACAAGGGGGGGGGATAAGAAGGTGACCATTTTTTGACCAAGTAAATTTAGACGCAACCATAAATGCGGAGGATCCTCTAGAACACATGGCAAACCCAAAGCACAACATTTTATGTGGCTCACGTATTACTAAATAAAAAGTCTAAAGTAGGGGTGTCAAAACATACGGAATGCGGGCCAAACTTTTTTTCTGGGGACCCATGTTTAAAAAGTCACAAACCTTCGCGACCCAAGTCAATAGACATTATTCGTAAACTCCTACAAAACATGATGCGAGAAGACCCCCCCACCCCCAAAAAAAACTCTTGTGACCACCTGAGGGTCGCGACCCAGTCTTCGGTAAACAATGCACTAGGGGATTCAATCTGGCCCCCCAAAAAAACGCACAAACACTTTGTTTGTGATGTTTTGTCAGGTTATATTTCATAAAATATGAATATTTGCTATTATAGTTGTACTTATTTGCAGGAGAATAAGGGTAATAAACATGTCCTTATTGTGATTTAAGGTAATTATGTTATGATATATGAAGTGGATGAGATCCACTTCACAGCTGATAAGGCTGTATGTAGCCCCTCAACCAAAATGAGTTTGACACCCCCGGTCTAAAGTATTGACTCTATACTATGGTTTACTGTATGGGTCAAATGCAGTGTTCAAATCCTGTATGTGTTTAACGTACACATTGTTAATGGTTATTATTTCTGAATACTTGTTTCTCTAAAATCCTGTATGTGTTTAACGTACACATGGTTATTATTTCAGAATACTTGTTTCTCTCAATCCTATTTGTTTACCATAAACAACATCTCCCATAATGCACGTCAATTTCTGTTCTTTTCAATGGACTCAAAGACTGTTTGGCCCGCTCTATATGTCAATCATTGGTTGGTTGAGTTGTCAGTCAAACTGTGGACATGAGGCTGTTAATGACTGTTGATCAACTCAAGTCATTGCTTAACATAAAGAACTTGCCTTAAGTTGGACTAGTTATTAGAGTTATTTGTTTCAGACGTAAATTAATGGTGTTTTCGCAAAGCGATGTGGTCCTAAGCATGTGGTTTTGTTGCTACGGTGCAAAGTCCGACCATAATGAAGGACAAAAAGCCCCAACTATGAAGTCTGACCCACAAACTTTCACACTTCAAGTGGGTGGTGCCCTTTGGGTCACCTCATGAATAATTGTTCATTGGACATTTTATCTACAATAAACAGCGAGATATTGTCTGCATGTACGGTGATCCAAAAAGGTTTCTAGATGCAAGAAAGTTTCACGATCCAAAGTTCTAGAAATGTGGTTCACGGACATTCGAGAACTCTTAACTTAAAATAAACACATTTCTCCTAAAAAAGATCTTTACTGGGAAGAAATACAGCAAGGTCCATTACTGCTTTCAGCATGACTACACTAAATGAGTGTTATCACAATTTTATATCACGAAAACCAGATCACACAATAAAGTCAGTAAAACTATTGGGGGATAAACAACTATTTGAGAAAAACCCACTCAAGATTAATAACAGATACAAGTAAAAACTGTAGCAAAAAAATACCTTTCAAACTTATGAGAGGAAATAGAAGGGATAGTTGTAAATATCTGAAGACAGCCTGAGTCGTTCCCTCAAATTTGCATTCACTTTTTGGGTTAAAAGTCTTTGTCTTCTTCCTGATGAAACACACTCAGAACCACATGCACCTCCTTAAGATCTCAATTCCCTCAGACTGACCACTGACCAGTTGGAGGCAGCAGGCGACGGCAAAAGTGAGGCATCAAGCAGTCAATGAACATCTGGAACTAATGGAAACTTTGCAGAATGCGTTGCGCACAGACCCACCCTCTCCCCGGAGTCCTTTCTACAGCCTGCAGCTTTTCACTTTCTTTCTTTACTTTACTCATATTTCATAATCATATTTTCTGCAACTTGTCATGTGTGAGACAGAGGGCTGCAACGTGCAAAAGCAAACTAAAAAAAGCAAAAAAAAAAAAAAAAAGAACCCAAAACCCACACAAGTGTGAAGCCAAATGTGTTTGTGCTGGTTGAGAAACAAAAATTACAGTCTACGGGTGGACACATGCAACTGTATAATATAAAAGAGCTGTCACAATATACTATAATGTATTACTTCAAAAATATTTTATTATATTTTGACACATTTATAGGTCTTTAATTTAAGTTTTGCAATCTTGGAAAACTGGTAACGCTCTTCTTGGTAACCTTTTAGCCACTTTTAGCTTTTTGGCTACGTAAGGATAAGGTGGCTGAAATTTTGGTTCACTTTTTCGTTCGTTTTGTTAAAGGAATTAAACAGGCTTTGAAAAAATCTTTTAACTTTATTGTGTAAAGCTGGAAATATCTCTTACTGCTTTTTATTCTTATTTTTCTGATATTACCCCGCTGTTCTTCAAAAACGTTTTGCTAGTTTATCTTGTCCTTCTATTATTTGTTTATGATATGATAACGGTTGGGTTAGCCTGTTTTGTCAATTTTCGGTAAAGTTGTGACTTTACTGCAATTTTTCGCTGAGTTTTATTCTTATGGTTAATTTGAGAAAAGGTACGACGAGTAAAAATTATCCTTACGAATTAAAATTTGAAAATAAAACATTTTGGTGGGAAATTGGTTCGTAATATATTAGGACTTCATTTAAGTAAAGTCAACGATGAAAATATTTCGTTTGAGGTTTTGCTAATTGAAGGAAGTGTAGATGTTATTTCTGTTGGAATAATAATGGTTTGTTTGTGTTTACGGCGCTGCCAGAAAAAACCTACTGATGCTCTGAAACAAAAGGCACGCACTGAAGGAGGAACACCGAGTATCAGCTCACCATTTAGAAAACATGGCGTCAAATTTAAAATGAGAACAAAACGAAGTTAGCATTACGAGGGAAAACGTAAGGTCGGTCAGGGAAGATTGGGAATCCGTTAGAGGAGCAGAAGGACTGTACAGTACAAAAGAAGTCCAGTCTCACATGAAGGCGCCTCGACTGACGCGCTTTAAAACAACCGTTGCATTCATGTAAAAATAAAGAAGAAGAAAAAAGGTGCACTCACATAAAAATGTAGGTTTCTTTTTCCTCCCTCTACCGTCTCCTCTTCTTATCTGACCTGTAGAAATCCTCTCAGCCTCCTCCTCGGCCCAGGAGCGCTCGCTGACAGGGAGACAAAAACACCGCAACCAAGATGCTCCAGCCTGGTCCTCCTCCTCCTCCTCCTCCTCCTGCCCCCCTCTACATCTCCTCCTCTTTCCCCTGCTGCTGTTCTTAAAGGGCCAGCGGCCCCAGCAGGAGCAGATGGTCCTCAAATGTACCTAAATCCGACAGAAGAGCAACACAAGAGCCTCCGATGTCTTAGGAACGCTAACAAAACAAAAGCAGTCAAGGAATGTACAAACCTGCAACGTTGGAGGTATTAGGAGCTGGGCCAACGTGTAGCATTTTAATGACAACCCACATCTGCAATGGTCAGGTGATGCGTTTGTTATTGCTTTTTGATTTAATTAAAAATATACCTGGTTTTATATAAAGAAGAAAATTAATTTGACTGACCTCAAGAACAACACCTGCCCTGCAAACAGTATAACATGTTTAGTATTATTCGTCGTATAATGACATTAAACCATCATAATTTGACTGACCTCAAGAACAACACCCGTCCTGCAAACAGTATAGCATGTTTAGTATTATTCGTCGAATGATGCAACATCTGACATTAAACCATCAAGAGCAAGGGTGTCAAACATACGGCCCGCGGACCAAAACTGACCCGCTCGAGTGTTCGATCCGGCCCTCTCGATCATTTTTGAAAATCAGAAAAATATACCAAAGCTTCTTGTTAGAGATGAGTTTTTTTTTTGTAAAACTATGTTAAATTAAAAATGAATAAATAACAATAATTATTTAATATATTTGTACTTTTTTTGCATGAAAACAAAAGGGGAACAACATGGACTTGATATTTTTAGTTAATTATGTTACAATTGTACTTGTACTTGTACATCTAATTAGGTTGCAAGAGGCCCGTGAACCAAAATTAGTTTGACACCCCTGATCTAGAGTTACAGCTTTGGTCACGTGAAAAGCAAAAATGAAGTCAAGTAAAAAAAAAAAAAAAAAAAAGTGTGATGTCATATTTGTTAAATCACAAACAAAAAAAAAGTGGAGAGAGAAATTTAATTGCAGTATAAAAGATACAAGTGTAAAATAAATTAAAAAAGAAAAAGAAAAAAAAAAGAGTTCCATCTGTGGATATCTGGTACAGTGTTAATGTGATGCAGTACATTGTATACAATAGTGCAATATAATCATAGAGTACAGTAGCTGAAACAATTTTAAACTTCCTCGGCCAGAGTAGTGGTGACACACCTGGGAGTGCTGGGGTTAGAACAGCCTCACGTAGTTAAAGGACTCCGCATGGGAACGATGGCTGAGGACAGCGCTCTTCCTATGTGACTACAGTGCGTTACAAGAGAATATTTCACAGTATAGGATAAACATTTACAAATCTGTTCCTATGTATTTTTTTCTTCCCTCCCTTTGAATAATGCTTTTCATCTGAGCTGCTGTGCACGTAGCATAAGGGTGAGGGGTTGGGGGGAACAGCCACCTGAGGTTCTTCTACTGCAGGGGGAACCAGTATCAGGAAATCATCATCATCATCATCATTTTAATCACACAAAAAATAAAAAAATAGGACTTAGTTTTACTAATGAACTGATGAGCAAGAGAATACAGGTTATTTGTACACAAAGTAAGAAATAATGATGTTTATAAATGATTACAGGTACTAATAGTTACAGTCACCATGCAGTAAAAAAATGTAGTTTATGATTACTTTTAGTTCGGAATGAATTTTTTTTTTTTAGAGATAGTATCACGAACTTCCAATGCGAGAAGGAATTAAATAGTAAAGTAGGGGCACAGTTTTGGTCATTACCTATTCAAAGTACGAGAATATGAAGTGTCAAGTATACAGAACAAATACCTTTTTGTTAAGTTAATAAATTGATGTTTTTTTTTAAATATTTGCCGTTTTTAAAAACATTTGAGAAAAGAGTGTGTTTTACATTGGATAAAAAAAAGACTTTGGTCAGTGAGCAAACAAGTAAATCCTGGTACTTTTGTTTGTTTCGGTGAGTACGACATGTCTGCCTTAAGCAAATACTAAACGAGCAACTGTTAGCAGAAACGATCCTTTCCCTTAAAAATGGTTATTACTGGTCCTAAAAGTTCCAGGTACGATGGGGGGTGAAAACAATGTTTCTTTAAAAATCCCAGTAAAAGGAGATGGAAGGATAAAAGTGACAACTCTGGAGGGTGAAGGAATGTCAGTTATTTGGTGTGTTCATAACATAAGAAAGCTCCCTGTTACTGTTTAAGACGAAAAAAAAAAAAAAAAAAAAGAGGCCGTAACACAAAACAGACAAGGACGAACCGACAAATCATTTGAACTCGGTAAGTGTTTAGCAGCGTCAGTCCTGTAAAACTGAAGCGTAAAAAAAAAAAAAACCAGCGGAGGAGAGGACGGTTCTCTTTGGTTGGTGGAGACCGATGGTCGGCTCGGAGACGTGTTTACAGAGCAGATAATCCTTTCGTGTAAACAGCTAAGAGGTCTGCTCACGCAGAGGTGTTGAGCGGGGCGTTGAGTGGGAGAGTGTGGGCGCACATGCTAGTGTCTTGAGTGTGGACAATATACCGCGGGGGACCTGGATGGCAGTGACAGGGGAATAGTGGTAATACCCATAGCTTGTTACGTTGTTTTCCAGTTTGTTTGTTTGTTTGTTTTTTCCCCACTCGTCAGCAGTCAACCCGCCGCAGACTGGACCTACTGTAGGAGTTCCTGGAGGACAGAGCAGCGACACAATAAGGAATTTTATACTTTGAAGAATCAATGAACCTAAAGTGAGCCACCAACGATGAAAACATCGAATGTGTATTTAGTCATATGGAAAAATACTCGGTATATACAGTACAAGATATTCTTGGCTACCCTTTAAATGCAAGTAGCTACATTAAATTATTAATAATATTAATTAAACCGCATTAAAAATGCCTAGCCCTACTTATAATCTAGCAGCACTTGCTTTGTGACTTACTAGTAGACACTAGTGTCAAACTCAGGCCCGGGGACCAAATCTGGCCCGCAGTGTAATTAAATTTGGCCTGCGAAATTATAACAACGTGTACTAGTATTGGCTATAGTATATAGTAAATTATATAGTATATACTATATATCATATATATATTATACTATATGTATAGTAGTATAGTATATAGCCCCAATATACTGGCAGGATTTGCAGTATTAGCGGTTTATGCGCTATGTTATAGCACATGCATTTTGTTTTGTTTTTTGTTGTTGGTCTGTGAAAAAAGATTTACATTAAAAAGGAAACTTGAAAGGCTACAGATAAAAAAGACATAAAAAATAACAATTACCAATGATGTGTGTGTTCATTTGTTTCCAAATGAAAAATTCTACATAACAGACGGAGAGAGGGACAATCATGCACAGTTGCTGTCAATTTTTCCTCAAAAGTTTGAATGAATGAAAAGTTAAAATGAATGTTTACATAAACTAGGATTTTTCAAGGACATTCCTT